AAAAAAAAAAAAAAAAAAAAAAAAGGGAAAAAAAAAAAAGGGAAAAAGGGCGGGGGGAAGAAATGAAAAGAAGACAAAGATAAAAGTAAGAAACCGATGTTGTTTCAAATTTTAATAAAAAGATTCAGGAATCAGGTCTGGGTGGCAAGCCAAGGCATTCTCTAGCGGCGGAGTTCAAAAGAAATATTCTGGTGCAAAGCGTTAAATGACAGCAGGATGCAAATCTCAAACAACGCTGCAAACAGCCCCACGCACCCCCGAGCCCGCGGGGGGAAAAAAAGGCAAAAGAAGAAGAAGAAAAAACCTTGTGTGAAAAGTTACAGTAAATTTTTTTTTTCCTCCCCAATAGTTTTTCCCTTTCAATAAAAAGCATGTTTAAAATACGTGCGATCGCCGAGCGAGCCCCGCTCTGCAAGTCCCTGCTACAGCAGCGCGAGGGAAGAAGAAGAAGAAGAAAAAGAAGAACAATAATAATAATCATAATAATCACCTCTTTCTAGGATGGCACCTTGATCCTTAAATATTGTCCAGTGTGTAAGGTCAGTGTGCGGAGAGTAAGGAGGAGAGCGGGCTGACTTTTCTTAAAGGGGCAGATCAGGGAAAGGCTCTGATGGTGCTGGGGGGGGGGGAGAGATAAGTGATCTGAAGAAGAGGATAGGACAAAAAAAAAAACCTGATGATGATGAATACATTGGAAACTTTTTTTGGCCCTGGTGAGGGTGTCAGATTGAATGCTCTGTGCGCATGTGCGAAGGTGTCCAAACTGACAATGCTTGGGAGATGAAGATAGTGTGTAGCTGCTTCTGGGCTCAAGGAGGGAGGAGAAGAATCCACAAGCCGACAAGATGAGATCCAAGGCGAGGGCGAGAAAACTGCCCAAAAGTAGGTTCTTTCTTTTCGTTCTTCCGCTCCCCGAGTCCCCGCGCGGGTCCCGCAGGATCCGTGCCGCGGAGGAGCCGGGCTGCGCCGGGCGGGAGCCCCCTTTTCGTGCCCTTTCTCCTTCCTCCCGCGGAACAGATGCGAGCCCCGCTGTCCACCCCGCTCCGTGCGCGCGGGCGAGGAGCGAGGCGCAGCGCGGCGAGCAGACCCCGGTGGCACCGTCCTGCGGGCCGGGGCTGCGGGCGCCCCGCGAG